CTTGAGAATCATATCGAACTATTGCCAAAAATGTCAATTGCCACTATAGTACTGTTTCAGGATTTTTTAATAAAAAAAAAAAAAAACCAGGCCATCCTCTATTAATTGATAAATCTGGTCATGATCATCTTTATCAATTAATTATTGATAATCGCCATTTTACACACCATCAACTTTGTAAAAAATGGGAAGAAATGAAAGATTACTCTATAAATTTTAAAATCCTTGTCAAGAATTTTCACCAACTTGGATTTTTTTTTCACATTGCCTGCTGTAAATCTCTACTTTCGGATATTAATATGGAAAATCATCTTATATGGTATTTGGAACATGAAAATTGATTCCTTGAAAAATGGAAATCTATTTATTGGACTGATGAAAAATCATTTGTTCAATTTCATACTTTCATAAATGTTCATGTGTAACAAAAAGATGGTAAAAAATATAATCAAGATTGTCTTGCTGGAACAGTTTTCAAAGGTAAAACTAGGATGGTTTGGGCAGGATTTTCATGGATAGGATGTGGTCCACTTATATCACATTATACTAAAATAAGTGGTAAAGTTCATACAAAATTGCTAAGAGAACATGCTATTCCATTATTTAAGTTAATGTTTTCATATGGAAATAGTATGTTTCAACAAGATAATGCTTCAGTATATATTGCGAAAGTAGCAAAAGCCAAACTTATTGAGACAAAAAATAATACTGATGAGAAGATTATGGCATCCAGTTCCCGTCTTTTGCAATTTTATAAAAAGTTAGCAGAAGCTGAAGTTGATTCCAAAGAAATTGATACATATGTCAAATTATCAGATGTTATTGAAGCTTCTAACAAAATCCAGAAGAAAAAACTCAAACAACGATTATCCAATCCACCTAAAACTCTCAAACACTTTTCCTTAGAGAAGAGACTTAGAAGAATTCAAAATATTGATATTACTAAAATTCCTACTATACAAGATCTCGCAGATATAATCATAATATTGAGCATGAGACTTGTTAAAATAATTACTCTCCGAATTATCCATTATGAACCTAATGAATCAAACCCTCCAATATGGTATAAATCTGGCTATTCTTGGTATTGTACTGGGTATATTAAAAATAAACTGAGAAAAAAACCGAAAAATGAAGAAAATGATACTTCCAAACCTAAGCCTGAGCCTGAACCTTGACAATTTCTCTCTATGGAAAAGAACCCAGAACATGCGAGAGAATTGCTTACCTGGATTCAAAATGTGATAACAATTGGAAAGTTGTGTGATCCTGTTTATAGTGTTAATGGGAAACGTAGTATTAAATCATTTAATAATTTTCTAAGACCTTATGGTATTACGGCCAAAAGATTAAGAAAAATTGGAGATAAACACGCTTCTAGAGTTCATGGTGGGCAAAATCAAACTCCACAACATCTTGATTTTCTTACCAGAATTGTATTAAGACATAAGATAGATCATTTTGATGCAGGAAAAAATTATGCTGAAGGTGATACTTCAGATTCTAACCTAGGCTCAGATCCCGAGCCTGAACCTGAAACTCAAGCTTTTATAACTAAACCGA